AAATTTCCCTCATTAGCCCAGTTTAGGAGCAGAACAGTAGGACGTTAAACCCCATTTCATTTCATTTCTACATTTTATCCGCGATAATGTAGATGGACATTCTAACCCCGTTGTGGGCCGAGAAGAATCTTTTTTAAGCCCGATCCCCACTTGTCTGGGGTTAACGCCTGCGAGGTTAACATATAATACGTTGTCTTGTCGCTCGAATGAGGTGGAAAACCGAGGTCCGCGCGTGTACACGCCCTCTAGGCAAATTTCTCCCCTCCATGATCATTACACATATTACAATAAATAAACATGATATGTTAGTCTCAACAACCCCATGTTGACAAGACGTTAAACTTTGCGCTGTTTAATTCCCTTGTATGATAAAGCCTATAGGTTTCAGCAACAATCTAAGAAACGCACCACCCCATAAAAATGACTATAGATTAAATCAAGTTTGCTGTTATGGTTTGCTGTATGTCTACATTTCAAACTTTGGTTCACAATTAGAGCAAAGGTTCAGGCATAGTCGTTTTTGTGTTCCAATGACGAAAACTGAAGCCAAAAACAAAACTGAATTTCTTTGCATGACGTCGAAAACTGAAGCCAAAAACCAAACTGAATTCCGTTGATTGACACATTAGATCAACCCAATTTAACATTTTATGTTTACATTAATCAAAGAGGTCTCGTTCTATTGAGATAACTTTTTATGAAACAAAAAATACAATTTCATGGGGTGATAAAGTCAAGGAAAGTGGGTTCATATTATTTATTTACGCATACGAGGGGATAACATTTCTAAGAAATGAGTAAGAAAATCGTAACTTTGATGATTATTGTGATCTTCCTTGGTCAATGTCTATACAGGCCTATAAGAAACACTGACATTGGTTTAATATATATATCTCAGTGATAAACAACTTCTCGGCCGATAACTCCCAAAATGACATAGCCTCTATCGTTCGGACTAATGGCCACAGATCACTAAAGATTTCTCCATTGACTTTAATGTTAATTCTCGTATCTTAGACCGGCTCTAACTTTTTCCAAAATCTTCGTTGGGTAGAACGCTGTTTACCACAGATGGAACAACATGGGGCAACCTCTTGCCCAAACGCACGTATGAGATTCTTCATGAAAAACTTGAGATTCACAAGCTGGAAGTAGAGATAATTAAGCATGCAATTTTCGGCCCTACATTTCAACCTAACCAACCTCTCAACCAACCAAAAAGTCAACAAAAATCGCCATGCAAAAAAGGGGAAAAGGAAAAGGGAGAGAAAGACTAAAAATAGCTTTGGCCCTTGTTCTGTGGGTGAATATTTGGTGAGCTGTGTCCTAATATTCGTAGAATATGGATGGGTTGCCAGCATTTGAGAATAACTAGGTCACTGACTAGATTACCCAGTCTTTTACGTTATCATGCACAGAATCTACTTTTTTGCAACCAGAGGGCATAAGGGAGGTACATAGCCCTAAAACATGATGTCGACACCTGCTCTCGTACATTGTTTTAAAGAAGTTGGGATACAGTATATATATAAACTGTTTGCGCTATGAAATGTATGCAGCCTTCTCGAATCCACCTTCAACAGTTTGTACATTCACATAATCTAGTAATGTGTCATGATAAAATTGCTTTGTTTTGATACTTTATCTAAAGTTCAAAAATTGCAGTTACTGAACAACAAATTTCCGTTATCATCCTTTGTCATATAAGTAAGGTATGCTAATTGCTATTGTGTTTCTGTACGTCAGAAGGTTTTAAAAGTTAGGATTAATAATAGAAGAATATTATTCTTTTTTACAGAACTGTTTGCCTTTCAGAAGCTAACTCGGAATTAGGATAGAAAATTGCGCCCCTCCCGCGAACTCTAAAACTGGAATAAATAGAGAAATGTGGTTTTTGAAATAAAAAGTATGAATCCAAAAATCTTTCCAATTAGGCCATCATCAATATGTTCTCCCCATTTTAAGACAAAATGACAATAACCCAGCATAGTCTAAAAATAACAGTCTATAAGTACACTGACGCAGCTCAATACACAACCAAAAATGTTATGAATAAACAGGATAAAGCCGATAACAAAAACAGCTGATAATTCCTTGTGAAAAGAACCCGGGTGTGAAAATCTTGGTATGGGATGATAGATAAGTCAAGTGTACGTCCTGGCTTTTCACACGGCCTCACGATTGATCTTAGTAACATCAGTGAATTGGAAAGGGATAAATATTCCAGAGATCGGTGGGCGCATGAATTAATATGACAAATATTAATAAATTGAGAGCTCTTTTAACGCCAGTTTTATTGGCATTATGTGTGACTCTGGGTACGGTTACTTATCTTCAACATGACAGGTTGACAAAACTTGAAAATCATCTGGAAGATACTGCTCCTGGATATCGTCATAAGGTATGTACTAAATATTTAGTTTGGCTCACTAACTCCCGAGATCAATCAATAAAGTTCCTCGGGATTTCAAAACCTGTTTTCTTAGCCCTGGCAGTAGTGCAGTACGAAGTGTCTGACAAAGAACAGTGTTCGAGTGGAAGACACAAAAAAGAGCATTGAAGTGCTTCAGGGAGAGTATAGGCTTAAACGCCACTGTCCGGACAGAAGTGTCCTTATAGCGCACTGCATGGTGTATTCCTATCTTCATTAGCCCAGTTGGTGCAGAAAAGTAGGACGTTAAATCCCATACTCCAATCCATTCTATCTTAACATAACTGTTTATAATTCTATTACACATTACTTCACTGTCTTCTTTATTCCCTCTTGAATTTTGTCATTAATTCAGAGAAGTGTGGACGATGACTTAAAAAGATGGAAAGAGGAAATGATTTCTCAATTAAAACCCTTTATAGAAGATCTGGTCATATCATCTGTAAGTGTTCAATTTCTTCAGATATTTTATGGCTTTATATAAATTTAATGAATACATTAAAGTTCAATGGGATGTATCTGGCACTATTTTGTAGTTCTCTCCAATAACTTATCAACGAGGCAAATATGTTAAATGATGGCACACGTTTATGTTTTTTTTATAAATTTAATGAATGCAAATTAACAATCAAGATCAGTTGAGATGTATATGGCACTATTTTATAATTCTTTCAAATATCTCATCAACGAAGCACATATGTTCAATGGGAGCGTAAATATGTTCAATGAGATGTATTTGGCAATGTTATATAATTCTTTTGAAAAACTTATAAACGAGGCAAATATGTTCAACTGAGATGTAACTGACTCTACTTTATAATTCTCTTTCAAATAACTAATCAAAGAGGCAAATATGTTTAATTCGGGTGTAAATATGTTCAATTGAGATGTAAATATCTTCAATTGAGATTTATCTGGCACAACTTTATAATTTATTCAATAACTTATTGAAAGTTCACCAACAACTTTATAACTCATTCAAATAACTTACTGAAAGCTCACCTACACACACAAATTATACAATTTCATCTACTTGGTTAGATATACCTTACCACGTACCCTTTTATCATTTTTCAAAACAAAAATATAAAATACTAATGAAAACATATAACGAATGATTTATCAGTTCATATTTTATCCCCCTTGTATTATTGTCCCCGTTAGGTAATAAATCGTAACAGACATTCCAAGGACCGTGCTGAGAAAGGTACTAAAGGAGACCAGGGGCCGTTTGGTCCACGAGGAGGTTGTGGAGACGGTAAAACCAATTCAGTTCGAGCTGTTAGCACTGCATGTTGTGACAGACTATGTAAGTAGATTTTGATACGAAAGAAAGTTCGCTAGGTTCGTATATATATATATATACCTGATAACCCACATTATGTTGAAACGGCAGATATGGCATATAACTCTTGAATTGTCCAATATCTAACGTTATTGGCTATTTATTTTGAGATTTTGAAAAGAAATAATGAAAGTATTTGAATATTTTATATATATGCTCTGTCCGGGCCATATGCATCCGTACTGGGGGGGGGGGGCTTGTTAGAACAGTGTAAAGTTTACGTGAAGCAATACAATCGTTTTGCATGAGCGTGTTGTCATGCCATTAAAAAACAAAAACAAAAAAAAAACAAAAAAAAACAAAACAGGATAACCTGTTTAAATTATATATACGACATAGACATTACTTTTCTTTCAGCTGAGCCCGTTATTGCCGGATTTCTAAAACAGGAAATCACTGCTACGGCTGGACAGGAGCAACTCTTACCATGTGTACCTAGTGTAGGATATCCCCAGCCGATAGTAACTTGGAACGCATCAGTGGATATAACTCCAGAGGTCGTTCGTGGCAAAGATGGTCTTTATATTCCGCATGCTGCTGCACACCATGAAGGAATCTACACGTGCACCATCACAAATATCTTTGGAACTAGTTCTAAAGAAATAAACCTAAAAGTTAGAGGTGGGTAACTTGATTTTGGTTAGGTAAATGAAAGCGGTTGATACAATAGACTTAAATGTACACTCCCAAAAGAAATGTTAGTCTTCTATTATTCAATAAGTAATTTAATTTAAACATACATTATGCAAGAGCTAAATCTGACTATTGTAGGTCTTTCTTTAGGCCCGGGATGTTATCTAAATTATTAATTAGACATTAATTATCTTATCTAGACAATAATCAACTCTCGATGGCATCGCTAGCCTGCGATATCTACTGGATAAGAACGCGGTCTGCTGGTTCTGATTAAATAAGAAAAAGTGAATAATCGAGACTACGCTTTTTATCGAACCGACTTTCGTAATGATGATCGAGGCTAGGCCCAAAGTTCAATCGCTAAATACTCGGTTTAGCGTGGATCAATTTGACTGAAATTTTCAGCAAATTCCATTGACATTATTTAGTTTTTAACTATTATAGTGAAAACTACCAGCTCTTTGTCTAATCTCCCATAATGTATCTTTAAAGAGAGGTGTTTAATTCGCTTTTCTTGTTTGAATTCAAGGAAATATAACTATAAATTTAGTTGTGCCATCCCAGGTTTACAACCAAGGGACACAGGCTATGGCTTTGCTAGATTGTGAATTCACTGGGGTACCAAAACCTAAAATAGATTGGCAACATTTGAAACCAGATGGTCACCTAGTAACTCTTACAGAGGGCGTCATTACTGCTGATAACTCCAGTATATTAACCGTTAATAATCCGACATTCCTAGATTCAGGTTTATATACCTGTATAGCTACTAACAGATATGAATCTCAATCAACTACAGGTGTGCTGAACGTTACAGGTTGGTATTATGATGCAAAGTTTGAACACAAATGTTTTGATCCAAAGAGTATTGAAATTGATGATTTATATCTTATGGGCCTTTAATGTTTACATTTGTTTCTATTGATTTCCTGTCGCCAGATAAATTAATAATTCTGTTATATATTGTTTTTCGTATACTCAGATTTTCTTAATTACATAATAACACCCGTCTTTGCCTGAAAACATATTTATGATTTTGAGAATGAGATATATGTGAACAATCTGATTTGCTGTGCTATTAAGTGGGATCATGGTCCACATTTTTCTATATGTCAAAAGTAGGTTATATTGATGCGGATCACAGTAACTCGAATTAATTTTAACACCACCTTGAATTGAATTCATATATCGTGATTTCAACGCCCCTTATAACCACCCATTAAAATAGTATTAACAGGATTAACAGTCATCTCGGGAGTTAATATCGAAACTTGAAAGTATAAAAAAAATACGGGGGTTCACAGAAATTATTTTAAAATTGAACACATTCTTTAACAATACATATTAAGTAGAATTTATATATTCTGATTAAGTAAAAGTCCGATTTGTCTTTTCTATCAGTTTTTAAGCAAATGCTCTCTTCTTCGTCACGTTTTAATAGTTCTATGTGATGTTTGTTTTTATACAACCGATTTTACTTTCAGCCCCACCAATTATATTGACTCCACCTAAAAACCAGTCAGTTATCAAAGGAATTGATCTAACCCTCCATTGTATTGTTATCAGTGACCCATTAGCTTACATAACATGGGTATTTCCAGATGTAAGTAATGTAATGTTATTAGTCGAACGAAAAACATATATATTATACTTAATTCATCAAGTAAGTACAGGGTTACAAAGCTTCCGTCATTTAATATCAGGATATGACTGATGATGCACTAAATAATTAAAGAACTTGTGGTATGCATCTGTGACAACCTTGTGTGTTCATTGCATACATCTTTTTTTTCAAAATGAGCTATTTTATTTTATTTTTTTTTATTTTTTTTTTTTCAATATATAGTTTTATTTTCAAATGGAACGTCATATACAAATTTCAGTCTAATCAAAAAATAAGCTGATTATTTTTATATATGTAGCACCAAAATGATTTCTTATAGTTTTTATATACAAAAAATTTAAATCAATTTGATAATGTAGGTTTATATTTGAAAAAGTAAATAAATCATTATACAATAAAAATGTTATTTAAGTATACTTGTATTCCTTTTCTGAAGAAGTAAAAATAAGAAATGCCTTTAAAAACCTTTTTAAGTCATGTTTTATTATGATACTTTTATAAATTTGGTCTTCAACTTTTTTTTCCTGTTATGTTATCTACCTTGCCAGGTATGGGGAGCATACATATTTAGGAGGTTAATGAAAAACTGTCCCAAAAAAATACAGGTTGCTATACTCCTTTCTACGAAAGCCGAAAGAGAAAAGTGAATAATAGCTACATACTTAATAAAACAGAGAAGAAAGAACATTGAAAATGTTTAACGAAAACATCCATGATTCGGATAGTTCATGGCCTTAATCAAGGAATGAGTTGATTTAAATGTATATTTATTTTAGCATTTTCTATCTTACCAAATATCCAGTATCAAAAGTTTTCTTTTCAGGTTTCAGGACATAAACCGTTCAACGCCTTTAATAATGATGATGGATCTGTAACAATAAAGGACGTTGAACAGTTAAATGAAGGAAGTTATACCTGTACGGCTACCAATCGTCTAGGCCGTGTTTCAGCTTCAGCAACTCTAACAGTTTTAGGTAATAATATAAAATGTACGGTGGATCAAAACTTAAATGTGAGTTCAGGAACAGGATCGGGTTGGCAATGAAAACCACTTGGCTTTTGCCTACTTTTCTAGCTTTGTGCAACAGGTCATTTGATGGAGTAACGGTTCCATTTCACACACGTCTCTATACTTCCATCCTTTTTATGCATCCATATTTAATTTACAATAATGATAATAAGACGAAGAGATGAACCAAAATTGAACAACGTTTAAATGGATAATTAAAACGGTGAAAAGTTCGAACGCTTTAATTATCCATATGAACCTATAGTTTATAGTTCTTCCTATTTTAATCCTTTAATAAATATCTACAGTAGCTAACGATACTAATTTCAGAACCTGTCACAGCGACGATAGCCTTTCCACTACAGTCCTTAACAAATTCCAGATTTGTAGCTTTGGATTGTAGAGCTTCTGGAGACCCAATACCTGCTATAAAATGGGATAAAATAGGGGTCACTCTGGACAGAACAGAAACAAGATATATCTTCTTACAAAATGGCGATTTTATCATAAGCAGTATTACAAAGGATACCGAAGAAAAAGATTCTGGTTTCTATTCCTGTACAGCAGACAACAACCTCAGTAATGCCACGGCTTATGCTATTGGTAAGCTGTTTCTGAGCTGGTTTTCAAAGCTTGCATGGACCCATTGATATTTAAGTTAAAATATGTGGCCGGGAAAAACCGAATTTACACTAATGTTGCCAAATATCCAATATACTGATCTGCTCATCTGAACTTTTACAGTGTATTAGTATGATACCCAGTTGTTTCTTGGGGGATAATATTTTTTAATTTTATGAATCTGTTTCCAGTATATTTTGATCATGGTGATGTAGATTGCAATACTACCTTTGATAACTGGAATTCAGGCATCGGCGCTGCGCATGGGTACGTTTGTATGTTTTTATGACAACTGTGACTGTAAACATGTGGCCTAAGATTTCTGTTCAGGTAGAGATGGGGTGGTTGTTTTGACTAAAATGGCAAAAAGGAACGGATGAAACATTTGCGCGTGGGAGGTCATATTCATCTTTGTTGTAATAAATACGACAAGTTAATTTATTTGTATGGCTTCTGGATAATTGTCTTCATTTGTATAAATAAATCGAGTGCGATTATACACTAACAACAGGAGTAGCTAATTTGGGTACATATATTAGGATGTCAACGTCAGCTCTCTAAACCTTGATGACCATATTGAAATTATTAAATAGGATCCATTATAGAATCACCATCGCCGTAGTACAGCTTTATTATCACTTTTTTTCTTAGGGTGGTGTGTCCCCAAGGTTGTTTAGCAATGAATAATGATGATGTTTATGGTAGCAATCCTTACAGTGTGGTAATGTATCTAATTAATTTTTTTAGCAGATTTAATTTGGCGTTCCAGATTCGTATTTATTCCATTTGTTTTTGACACCAAAATCAAAAAAGAGGATTCATTTATAATTTAACTCTCAATTTATAGTTCTTCGAATGAAATGGAACAACAAATTATTAACAACAATCCATTGACCTAAACGTTCATTTGTTTCATACAGAACTCTCCGATCTGTTCTGCTGCTTTACATAACGGTGTAACAGATAATGCTTTGGGCGGTTTAGTATTATGGTATGTAGTTGATGGTAGATCGAGTATATTCAGTAGTTCAACAAGTAATGGTATATCATCTTTATCGTAAGTAACAATATCCACATTTTCTAGTCGAACCCATTCAACAGGGCTTTCTTTTCCGTTATTTATAGCGAATCACGCTGCCTGAAAGTATTCGCAGCCGATTTCAAATGATTATGCTTAACGGCCGCATAAATTTGCCTAATCAACTCAAATATAGATTATTTCGCTACGGAGTGCGAACTCTGACAAAAGCATGAAGATCTAACCGGTTGGGATACGAGATAAGATCTCCGTTTTAGATTTCTTCCAAACGAAGGTCTATGTCTTATTTTCCAAACACAAAGTACAATTTATATTAATTTAGGCTACATATACAGTCGTAAAGTAATTATATTTGTATGGGGCAATTATATTTATATTCTACAGATGTAGACTGGAATAACCAGACGCTAGAGATTGTCATTCGATTGAAACTTCTCGCGTATTTCGCCGAACATGACTGATTTGAAATTAGAGTATAAAAACCGAAACGATTGAATGTAAACAGTGTATATACATTCATATTACATTATTATAATGCGTTGCGACACGTTTGTGTCAAATTCTAGGTCCCAAATATTAGCGATTTAGGTCCTTTGAGATGTGAGTAATAAATAAAAAACAAACAGTGACAGATCATTAAGTAAACAAAATAAGTCGATCAGAGACAGCTAAAGGCTGATAAAACTGTATCCACCCAAATAACTTCACTCATGGGGACTTTCACATTCTGGGCTAGGTTGTCCTGGGCTAAACCCTAACATTCAAAGATCAACTGGGTAAAAACTGCCTCAAAACAATCTCAAAAGTGAAATATGTGCGACTCAAAGAGGTTGACGATAGTGACTATAGTTGCCACCGGTCATAAACCAGTTTTAGATGCATTCAAGTCGTCTCAGTAAAGTTGTTCCGGCTGATCAGGGTTAGTTGTGTTACCCGCAAATCGCATGTTGCCCAATTAAAACTAGTTTTACTCGTAAAAAAGGCGACATAACTTAAACAAGGCATGAACGTCCTATATCTGGATCATAAATGTAATGATCTAAACTACGTTGTTGTGATACCATTGAATAACGAGAATTTAAATCTATTATTTCAGTTCTGGGCCTCTGTTTGAAGGTGCTATGATTGTAGAGCGTGATAGTGGTCTTTATAAATCTGAAACCACCAAAGTTCCGGTTATAGGTTAATTGTCATAGTTCTACATTATTTTTCGTTCATATTCCTGAACATTTTTTGTTAAACCAGACTAATTAAAATATAAATTCATTTTTTATGTTGTTTAATAATTAGTACTAAAAACAATCCAGCAATATCTTTATGAAGAATGGCTTCTATTGCCCTGGCTCTATCTAGCCAATGACAGTATGGCTGTTTTTTTTATAATAATGACTTAAATCAGACTTGGGCGAGAGCTGTTAAAGAAGAAGTTATATCCATAGCCGCTTGTAAAATGGAAAATATTTAACGATTACTGATTATGATAATCCAATAGCTGGCCTAAAGTCTATTACGTTCATATTCACAAGCGAGATAATAAAATCCAGATGCAAATAACCTGCTTCCCAAACAGTACAAATACTAAAAGTAGGAACAGGATAATATAACATCTCCCTTTCTTTATAATTGTATATTCTCTAGGATCATAATGTCTGAGGCAAGTCCATCTCGGTCCTGTCTTTTTAAAGACGAAAACTCCCATAGAAATGAATGCGTTGAAGACAGTACCTAAATATTCGTATTTAGAACAATTAATTTTAGACTCTGTTTATTATGTGATTAGCCAGTCAGTTAATTTACACAAAATCTTATTTGCGAACTGGCGAAAACTACATATGTATAACGTGATAGTATTCTAACACCAAGTTCACATTTGCGCGAAGGGTCTTTAGCAGTGGGGGTGGGGGGCTAGAGGACCTGGAGGAAACTCACGAGGTTGGACAGGCGACTCAACTCCTTGTCACGTACAACCGGGGAATCGAAAACACGCCAGTTGACTCAATGACAGACCCTTGTCACATACCGGGGAATCGGAACAATGTCAGTTGACTTAATGACAGACCTTATGATACAAAGCGCACGCGCTAAGCATTCGGCCAATCACCATTGACATCCCCGTTTTTGCTAACTTTTCACGGGCGCAGGGAGAGACACGCCCCAGGGTCCCTCCTAACCAAATAACCTTCGTCCGTCCGCCACTGTCAACATTTACAAACTTGAACCGGTTTTATGACAAGTTGGGAGCATTTACACTGACGTAATTAATTATCCAATTATTGTAAATTAAGACGGATATATTAACCGAGTGATATGTTAGATACATTCTGTAAATTATTTAATCAGTAAAAAACCTATTTGATAAGCTGAATCGTTCTTTTTATAGTGCATAGAACGAAAGAGGTTGTCCTGTTTTAGACAGAATTTATTTTGAATAGCCTACAATATGTGAAGATAGACTGTTAATTCAGTATCAAGAAATATAGTATCCAGTTTTTAAAAGTATGTATGGACCCAAAATGCATATATTATATCATAAAGCCGTCATGTTCTTTTTATCTGTAAGAACAATTCCAGATTTTACTGGCTAACCGTTTATTTTGTCTGTAAGATTCAGCTCAAATATACAGCCGCTCGGAAATGGCCCGTAGATTACTTATCTCAGTGGATGAATTTCTGTGTTTAATTCATAATCGCAAACCTCGTTATAACGTCGTTCGGACACTCATATGGTGTGGAATTTGTGGACTTGTGGCCAACCGCAGATGGAAACTATTTAAAAATTATTACATATCTTCACTTATCTGTTCAGGATAATATTTTCTAGGAATCTTTCACACAGGATTAACCAGGTTTTGTATTTCAATTCATTGCCGATACTTTACGATGCAACGACTATTGTATAACTGAAATCGCATACATCTCAGTATGTATATTGAGACACAATAAGATTTGACATTGTAAATGCGTAAAACTTTCCCACAGGATACACAACGCGTTCTCTACAGGTCCCACCATCCCCATAAAAGAAAACAAAGTACAATATAAGCGGTAAGCCAATTGGCAATTAATCTGAAGGATCTTGGTGGAAACATTTTAACACAATCAAAGGGACATAATCTAGTTTATCATTCAACAGATATAATGGGAATCGGTCCACTAATTGTTTTTCTTGTCTACGATATCACCCGAGGTGGAAGTGGACGTAAAACTCTAGAAACGAACGAATTAATTGTTTGTGGAACTTCTGGAATGTAAACGCAAATGCTTACGTTTCCTTTCCAGTTTAGAATTATAAAAAAGAATAAAGTTTGATTTTCTACCTGATGGGAGTGAATATTATGACCTTTTGTGTTCAAACCGACGGTATAAGCCAGTCTTTGAATACAACAACACTATTAATGTAAAGTTCATGATATACTTAAATTTAAACAAATATTTGATAAAAGTCTGTTGTGGATTACCAGACATCCTTAATTAACAGTGGGTCCCTTATATTTAAATTCAGTTAGGTACATAAGTAGCTCACTTTGAATGCGGACCCTATATAATAATCTGGGTGAAAACTTTCAAGTATAAGAACTGATAAATTATAGTTTCTTGCAATTAGTCATTCTATTTGTTTGAAATTTTAACTATGACGCCCGCCACAAGTGTGTATTTATCAAGAAGGGAAAGTGTTTTGTTTGAATAATGAGGCCGTTGGTGTCACGCGATATGTCAGCTCACTATATACTATTATAAGACACTGGAATCAACCATTTTTCAATTAGAGAGGTCATTTCGGGACTAACATATGGCTCAATTTTATTTCAATAATTCGCTTGTGCGTAGGGTTTTTTAGAAGTGGTAGCAAACCGGAAGACCCTAAGAAAAGCCACATAGTATGGACATATGCTCGTTTTCATTAGTCCAGTAGGTGCTGGGCAATTATTAATTCTTCTATTGTGGCTTGTGGTAATATCTTAATGATGACCATATTGTATATTTTGAGATTTTGGGAGAGGTGGACCGACGTCTGTATGCAACGGGTAATGCCCAAAATTATATAACAATTATTATTATTGGTGAACTGACTGTTCTGCAATTATAGGGATGTGCAACTAACTGAATCAACCTTGCTTTTCTACAACGTTAGTTTATCTGTCCTTCCCTATGACTATTATAACGGCCGCTTGTTTTATCGCTCGGAAGAGTAATTTTTTATGAACTTTAGAAAATAAATATCTTAGCATAACAGTAGTGTGATTCATGTGTTCATGTCTTGGGATCTAGACTGTAGGCCTACATAGCTTTACATTGTCAACTAAACAACTGGTTTTTACGTGTAGTTATTTTGTATGCGGGATAACTCTTGTAATAAAATGTACTTCAATTGATTTACTCAAGGATAATCTTACCTGATTAATTTTATTATAAACATAGCTTGTCTTCTTACGGTCTTAAGAAACAAGAGGTAGCACGGTTCAGTTGTCCAATTCGTACTAAAAAAGCATCAATCTGAAAATGTTAGTTCCCTGTATGCAATAGTCAGTGGATTCATAAACAAATGATGGGCCTGCCATACCTGAATTTGTTTATAAAAGATAAACTTTGTGCATCAACGATTCTTTGTTGATAAATACCTACTTACCTTTCCCACTTGTTGATATTATCTCTACCTATATTATGTACATACTGAATCAAGTTTATTTATTTACCATACATACTGCTAGAATTACAAGACAATCTTCGTTTGGTTCGTTCTTTCCTTTGAAGTGTTTAATTCAAATGAAATTAAAGCATAAAAATGATAATTTGATAAACACATGCGGTTGTATAGATGGGTGTGGGACTTGGATAAGAAGAACAGCAAATGTGAACAATGTGCTTAGAATTTATATGTGTTCACGTAGGGAGATCTTTGCATTGATAACTTAGTAGCAGGCGTCTAATATCATTTTTAATATAATACGATATTATGCAATTAAATACACCATATTCTTGATGAAAGCGGTAATACCTGGCTGCCATGTTAGGAACAACGTTTTTTTGATCGTGAATACGTTACTAAAATCCAAAGAAACAGGTCATCAAATTCAAAGAAATGTTGTTTTTTGGGGTTTGTTTTTTTTGTTATTGCCTTTTGTATGCAATTTAACCGGGTTTATATACCATTGTGTAGGTTGAAGAATGTTTGCACGAAGACAATAAATTTCATGTAAAGGAGAAGATTTTATAAGTTACAAAACGCATTGTCATTTAATGAACAATAAAATATTTTTTTTAACCTTAATAAACTTTCTAACTCCTGAACACAGAATGTATACAATGTCTCGAACAACAGACTTGACAAACGTTCCCTCGGTCAAATTTGCTTGGCCTTTAAAATTACTTGCATTGTTTATATATAATTACACATGCGTTTCATTTCTAATGCATCTTATTAGCAGTCCCTTTCTATTAGTGTCGGAGGGTTGGCTTGCCGAGTGGTCTACAGCGAGCGCTTTAGATTATATGATATGTCACTGAGCCAAATGAGGTGGTTTCGATTCACAACTTGTACGTGACAAGAAGTAGGCGTAAAAACGCTTTCATGGAAATGGTACATTACATTGGCATTAGAGACTTTTTCGCCGGCTGAAACGCATACGTGGAAAATGAGCTTTATAGGTTGCCTATCCACCCTCGTGCATTTTCCGTGGGTCCACCGGTTTCCTTCCATTACTGAAGAACCATACGCGCAATCGAATTGTTGATATAAAATTAAACCATGTGTTTGTCCCAAAATGACCTAGTTGGTGTTGAGTGGACGTTAAACCCATGTTTCCCTCTATCAGTGGTCGTCTCGCCATTATGCTAAACTATTGAAAAGCGTGACGTGTTGGGCCTCGTTTCTGAACCCACTAACACAAGACACTCACGAATTTTTGTTTCGTAATTCCGAAAAGTTACTTACTCGCCGCATTCACATAATCTCAATTTTAAAAATCTGCAATATTTTGTTTTGCAATCACCGTCTTCGTTTAATTTTTCTATGGAAAAGTAAAACTTATTATAATTGAGTTTTATGTTCCTTAAAGACAATAATTTAGCAGGTTGAATGGCTTCATTGTTTCATGATTGAAGTTTAAAGTCGATGTGACAGCGCTAGTTAATTGATTTATGTTATCCAACTGCCAGTCATATATCTATGATTAATTGGACAGATGAAGTGCACATTTATCCGTTTTAAATTTTAAAGACCATTGATATTTTAATTTCACACACAAAAATTATGCCTAATCACTATTCATAACGTCTCAATAAATGTTGACTGCATAGTATATTGAACATTTTCGAATGGAATCTTGAGGTTGATTTATTTAAGACTAATACGGGGATCCATTTAATGTTAGATAAGTTCTATATCACTCACAAACAATAAGTCTGCATTTTGTTTGTACTTCTTCAAGATGGCCCGGTGGATTAGGTAACGTTGGCGTGACTGGAGGGTATGGGTGGGGGCTGCTTACGACTACGAGGAGAAATGGTATTTCTTGGCACAAATCGGTAATGCCGCGTATCAGTTAAGGGATCACTTATAAAAGAGAAATGAAATGAAATGGGCTTTAACGTCCTACTTTTCTACCCGATCCGTGCTATATCACATATGTATATCACAGCGATTATCTCATTACTTCGTATAATTTATTTTTAAACTATTTTATTTAGTGTTGCGTAAAATGTTTATATACAATAAATAAGTGACATTTTAAATATAAGACTTCTATGATGGTATAAATGAAAAACTCTCATGTCAATAATCAAATTGACCACGTTGGAATCAGGAATCGGGGTCCTTGTTTTAGAGATCCCTAAAGATAAGGATAATTTTTGCCACTGTTGAAAATATTGTGGGATATATATATATACAAGTTAGTTCTATAAATAATATCATTTTAAACAAGGAAAATTGGGGATAAACGAAGGCTAATGAGTGCTTTACGTTGTCGGACACAACATAACGGCAAGATGTTATGTGGCTATTAAAAAGATTATCAATAATCTCACAGATCAAAGGAAAATTACATCATAGGTTTTAACCGAAGTAATCTGTTTGAGCAATGATTAGACAGTCGACAATGTTCAAACAATCGGCAATACCCGACATCTGTCAGTAATGGTAATTTGAATAGCGTGTGGCAAAACTTTATTTTTTAAAAGGAAAACACAAAAAGTTACATAAATATATATTTACTGATGCGTTTGGTGTTTGTTTTAAATAGTAAGGATCGCAAACACCCGCATTACATGACAGTTAACCTTTCTTTAAATGGACTGGTCTATTGCGCGAAGGGGAGTATCTAGCAGACTTTTATACATATTATTCAGTCGTCGTATGATCGGCTGTGTTACAGTATTGTATGCCATATAATAATTGTCATATGGCTTTGCTCTGGGAACAAAACACATATGTTCAATGATAGTTTAAACAGCTGAAAGCAATATTGTCATTCCAGAACGTAACCTTTCAATATAACTGACCCCATTGTCCCCTTTTGGGAGATAATGAAAAAAGCCCAGAGGGGATCAAGTGTGGACACTTCACGGGTTACTAATACGCTCAGGTGAGAAGGATATATCTAGGACATCGAGTGGACGCTGTTTCTTCATCATGAATTCCGAACCGATCGAATTCACAGACATGGGCAAATATAACAGTCACACCGATTTAACGAGTAACAAATCAACGAAAGGTGGATTTTTTGTGTCCACAGCTAAAGCTTTTATTTTAGTTTTGCTGGCAATTTTAATAGCTGTGGTTGTTGGGTTGATCGTCCATTTCGCGGGATCAGGAAAAGAAGTTGTATGCAAATGTTCAGAGGTTCCTGCAAGTGGGAGTATTGCAGATCGTCTGGCAGAATGCAAAACCTTAGCAGTACAAGGAAATGTGGATATCTGTAAGTATGTTTTAGTTTAAGGAAACTGTGAACACTTATTAAAATGTGTTATGTCATGTACGTAACATAATTATTAATATCCTGCTAGATTTTGACATGACATATTTTATTTTTCATATGAATTTTCTTTTTACTTTTATGAGATCGTCATATTAAAAATTATAAATAATGCTAAAACTAATTTCTATTAAGATACGTGATTGTGCATTGTATCAAACAAACATAGATTCTTAATATAATAAAAAAAAATGTGTCGCTAATATTTTACTGAACTCGACGTTTGTAATAAACATTATATAAGTCATTAATACTCTAATGTTACTGAACATACTTCTATTAAGCCACATGGGAGTGTGCATTAGATTTCAACTAAATTTAAATTCTTACAGAAACTTTGTCGTTCATATTTTGATTTTCCTGAACTCAGTGGGTTTTTTTTACTCCAGCGCTGAGAATAAACATAGTTCTTTTAAAATCCAAGCGCTGTTTCGCATTTTCAAAATTGACACCGTTCTGTTTAACATTATATCGGGAAATTGGGTTATGTTTTTACTAGGAGGAATAATAAACTGGGTTACAAAAAAATCTAGGCTTAGTTTTAATGTAAGCTGTATTTACACTAGAGGCACTTATTTAAGAAAATGAACATTTGACTTGAACAATATTGTAGTTATTATAAACAACATTAGAAATATGTAGATTTTGCGAATCATATAATCAGTTATCTTATTAAAAGAGATTGCAACGAGTAAACAACAGTTAATATTTTTACAATCTTTCAATTTTCCTTTTTTTAATAAACTTTTATTTACGTATTATGTTTACAAACATGTTATGTACATTTATATTTGAACAACATGTACGAATATAAATCGATTAATCATAAATTCTAATTTTATTATACAGTAAACATTTACGAGTAAACAACGATTATTCCATGTTCGTGTTACATACATTAATTTGAAAGAAGTTAAACACTGTTTACAAAGAACACTCTAAAAGAAACTTCCTACTATAATATATGGATTTGGATTAACCCCTTTGACTGATATTTAATTTTCAATTTATGAAAATTCCTCTGTCAATCCTAAATGCGATGTTCGAAGTGTTTGGTCGTATTAAACAAAACTTTAACTTAAATTAAAGCTTTGGTACCACAGGTTAAAATAGTGAATTGTCATCCTTAAAACCAGAATTTGGTTACCATAGTTTGCCACATTGAATTGCCATTCTTATAGTCAATAATTTGCTACCATATTCTACCACAGTGTTATTCTTAAATCATGATAACAAGTTACAATCGAGATTAAAGTGTTCATTGAATAAAGTGCTGGCCCTGTCTTGGCTTGTGCAAGTCCGGACTACAACACTTTATGTTCGTTACAATTGGTAATATGTTAGAACGGGTGTCGTACAAGACACCAAAATAATAAAACTAAATAAATGTATTGCATTTTTTGCGACATTATGAAGTGTGTGTGTGTAGGAAGGAAATATTAAAATTCTGTGTTAAGTATTTAGCTTATCATGCATGAGGTAAAAAAAATCACAGCAAGGTGTGATAAATAACATTGTTTTAGATTTGGGTCGATTTTCAGCACGTATGGACCAATATTTCTAAAAGCTAAAAATATCCTAGTCCTAATGCATTTTTGTGATCAGTATGATTTTTCTCTTAAACAAGGATGTTTATGATTATATAGTATCTTATAGGTACATACAGAATTACGCGAGATATTTATTATTAAGGGTAATGCAGGTAGCTTTTAAAAAGCAGATGGAGTGGACATTTATGCAATTGGCCGTTTTAGGGATGACAGAGGGTTTAAAGTAAAGGAGGTGGGGGGTATTGTCATTATAAATCTTTTTCTTAAACACTTAATGTTGACCTGCTTCTTTTGTTGCGGAAGGTCAACATAATGTACATTATACTGTGACAGTATTAACTCTGTATAGTATCAGATAACATTATGTTGTGCATTACAAGTGAACTATAGTAGGTAAACCGTGCTTATATTATATAACTTTTACGACGGTTAATTTCTAATTTTAGATTTGCTTTCTTCGTTTAAGGTAGTTTTTGATTATCTAACCTAGAATCACATGATGCATTTAAACAACATTAGAAATATGTAGATTTTGCGAATCATATAATCAGTTATCTTATTAAAAGAGATTGCAACGAGTAAACCACAGTTAATATTTTTACAATCTTTCAATTTTCCTTTTTTTAATAAACTTTTATTTACGTATTATGTTTACAAACATGTTATGTACATTTATATTTGAACAACATACATTTCTTTTGTACGGCAGTCTGAAATCAACTGACAATATATAAAACTGAATTAAGACAACATTACAGCGGTGAATGGTGCCAAGTATCCCTTAGCAGCACAAAACAGAGTAAAATGACTTACAGCTGTAAAGCGTGTAAAGACATATTAAATACTGCCAGCAAAATTAACAGCTCATTTTCAATCTGATGACTGTTGAACATATATGTCATTTGTTTGATAAGGATATCTTCCATCCAGGAGCTTAAATCATGATCTACATAATAGTAATACATTTTAGTTACAGGCAGCACTCAGGCAAATGGTTGGTAAATGTGTGTATAAATAATCTGCAATATTTAGGTCAACGTTTTTACATATAATAACAGGGAATCAAACACAATTTTTGACGAATTACGATTAAGAAGTTGCCAGTAATTCCTGAACGACAATTGTTTTTCTTCTGTCCACACTGAAATCGACATGAACTTTTACTATATCAAAAACTGAAATCACAATTTTTCCTTGGCAAAAACTGATATAAGTTTAGATTCTTTCCAAATCAACACCGTATTTTGTTTTCGTTTATTACCTGTTCTTTAAACGTAATTTTAATATTTAAATGATTGTGATTTGAAATTAACTTTACTTTTTAAGATTTAAGCATGTGGTTGTGCAACTAGTTAAATTAAATTTTCTGTTTTGAAATGAAATGATTGAATACTAGTCTGTGTTTTCCTTCCAATTTCTAACATTCATCAAATTCTAGATCCTGCAAAGATTTGCATGAAATCTGTAAATTGAAACTAGATGTTGTTTACCTTACAAGCGTTCATTGGGTTGACGCATTGCCAGATATCTCGCCTAATTAAAATACTACCGATATTCGTTCCGTTTTGTTCCTTTTCGGTTGTTAAGTGCACTGCATCTGGGGTAAGCTTCAGAATAAGCTAAACAAATATATCATCTCGTCTTAGGGGTGTCGAACAATCTAAAATGCACATTTTAAAGCTAGCACTGTAATTTTTGTTGATAAGATATGACATTTTTTGTTATTTTTGGTGATAAACTAAATATGAATCACCAAAAAAATACCAATTTTATTTACCAACTATGTTCCAAACATGGCCCAAAAGCATGATAATAAAGGGTGCTGATGACAACAAAAGTCGATTTTTCTCAGTTATACCTGCATAGATTTTCATCAAATTTGGCATGAACAATACTGACGAGTTTTCTTCTATTGTACATGCTAAAACGAGACAGCAAGATTTAGACATCAAACCGTTGTAAAGAATGATCTCAAAGTATTTTAAAATCTTGTTCAATTTGTGATTTTCCGGTAAATTCTTTGAATACGCCCACAGCAAGTTTTAAAATACAACAATTCGGATGAAAAAAGTAAATATTTACTTCAGTGCACTACTCCGCCGCTCTCAAAATCATTTGATACATCCAATAATGGTAGTCTTCGACCATCAAAAAATGAAATTCAGCCATTTTCCAGTTGAGATAGATGGTATTCCTGGATATCGCGTCGTAGAGGGAATTCCTTCTAACGTCTTATTAAATTTTCGATAGACGTCAATCATCCAGTCTGAAACTGCTGCTGGAGGCGACCATGATTGTTTACTGCGGATGGTGTGGACGCATAGACCATAGATATACTAATAATATAGACTGCTCCAAAGAATATGGACATCAGTGACGCCACAAGATGTCCAAAATCCGTCATCTTCCGCTACCCCCATATGAATTGTTCAACGTTGCCTAGAGTGGATTTGCCAATAATGCCTTTTTATGTTGCGTTCAAAATCAGCAACAAACTTTCGATTATGAATTTATAATTTCATGGTCTTCCTTCGGTGTCGCTTGTGGTAATCTGGTATTTTGGTTTCTGAAGAAAAAAAAAATAAATTTGAGGCTCTCGTGTGAGAGCCGCATTATTGTGTTTCCTATTAAGAATTGGATTTTCTAAAAATAAGGTTTTTTTTTCACTATCTCGGGGTTAGGGCTAGGGATTCGTATAACTAATAGTTGGTTTTATTTACTAAGGGTTATGGCTAGGGTTGATATATTCTTTGCTTTGGGTTAGGATGAGGACTGGTGTTATTTATTCTGTCTTTTTATTACCGTTTTAGACTATGAGACGACATGGAGACACATAAAATAAATGGCCAACATATATTGTGTATTTATAAAAAGAATTGGACATAGGCCTATATAAGCCTAATTTTTTAAAAAAAAAAAGAGGTTATATGACTATGAAGACAACATAAAATAACTGGCCTCCATATCTAGTGCAGTTATCTATCTATCAAAACTGGGACATTTGTCCTTGCACCTGTCCGTCTGTACGTTCACATTGTGTTGTGGACCTCTACAGGTCACAATTTTTATCCGATTTTGATGAAAGATCCCAAAGATCGCGGTCCCTTTCGCTATTGGCATTTATCGGGCCGTAACTTTGTAAAATATGGGCGCTGAGTGTAAGAAAAATCACGTTTTTAACTTGTAGACACTACAGGGGTCTCATTAGAAACTTTTGGTAAGTGGAATTTTTCCCATCCGTATCATGTATCCGTATCGTCACGGTAGTTTTAGCAGGTTTTCGCGCCGCGTACGTAATGGGTAGCTGAACTGAGCTTAGTTCTATTACAGCATGATGGCAGTCATCTACCAAGATCAACATTGGTACTAGTCCAGTGCCTAGCCCACAGGAAG